ACATATATATACATACACATATATATACATACACATACACATATATATACATACACATATATATACATACACATATATATACATACACATATATATACACACACACACATATATACACACACACACACATATACACACACACACACACATATACATACACACACACATATACATACACACACACACATACATACATACACACACACATATACATACACACACACACATATACATACACACACACACATATACATACACACACACACACACACATACATACACACACACACATATACATACATACACACACACACATACACACTTACACACACACACACACACTTACACACACACACATACACACACACACACACACTTACACACACACACATACACACACACACACTTACACACACACGCATGCACACACACACGCATGCACACACACACACACACATACACACACGCATGCACACACACTAAAACAGACTTAACAGGAAACGTTTCTACTGAAGTCAGATTTATTACTAAAACACTTTAATATTGGACACAATAGTAACTGAGGAGGTCGTCATGCTGAGTAGTTCTTCCTTTGGAGAACGTGATCAGACAAACTCTCAACCTCAGAGACGTGAGACAGCAGCTGAGAGAGGGAGGAGTTCTGAGAGAGGGAGACAAAGAGAGAGAGAAATCCTTAAATCCAGCACCCGAGACACCCTCCAAAGCCAAGAGCTGAGCCCAGAGAAGAGGCTGGTGCTGAGACTAACTGCCTCCTCTCAGACACACGGGGACTAGTCTCACAACAACACTGCTCTCCAAACACCAACCAGACTAAAACACATAACGAGATGTAAAGAACCCGATCTGGAGCACTGGAAAGAAGAAAGTAAAAGACAAAGTAGATTAGAATGTCATGTGATGAATAGTCAGAATATGTCTCTACTGTCAGAGAGCGAAAGCAGAGACAGATCCTCACCAAGTACAGAGAGAGAGAGAGAGAGAGATAATGAGATTCACCTCATTTAAATAAAGACCATGCCATCATGTGACCCACCAGCTGAGCCAGACGGTCTCCAGTAGACGGACTACAGCGGACCGAGTTCAGCTTCTCCTCCAGAGTCTCTATGAAGTCCAGCAGCACCTTCACCAGGTCCACCACAAACCTGAACCACAGACCGGGAGAAATACCGGTCTCATTATATGAGCTACAGCGCTGGACCCGGAACCGGGTCTGAAGGACTCTGGATCCTGATGAGCCAGGATTCTTACCTGTGCAGGTGGGCCTGAACCGGCAGGTTGGTGCGACCCAGCGGTCTCATGAGTCTCTGCCTCAGACCGTTCTGGTCCTTCAGGAGGTCCTGCAGGTGACCGCTGAAAATCTGCAACATCTGGAACCTACGAGCTGCAGGAGACATTTATTATTCTGTTAATTTAGACGTTTACACACAATCTAAAATCTCCTCATTTCACGGTTTCATCTTTAAAGTTTGAGTTTCAAATGGAGTCCAGATGTTCGCTTCAACAGATCAGTGTGTTTGTTCCGAGTGTGAGGTTTGTGAAGAAGAAGACGACTTTAACTCACTGAGGTAAACTCTAGCCCTATTTTTAGGCCTCTGCTCGAAAATGGCATACCCATACTAAAGAGACTTCAATTCTGTAACTACAAGGTCTATTTTAATAATTTTTGATGCTATAATCAGAAAACACTTGTGAGATTGTTCAGATGGGTAAATATTGTGTATATGTTGCTGGTTAATATAGTACATGAAAATATTACACAGCTCAAATTGAAAATATTCAGGTTCACCTGAAAAAAAAAAGCACTTTTATTGATATTATGTTTTTGAAATAATGCAGCTGAGAGCCTAAAAACTCTCCCAAATCATAGCACAACCGATCAGTAGTCCGAGAATAAAGTTTGGCTGGGATAAAGTGAAGAATAAGAGGCTTTTAGTACAGAGAGGTCGTCATTTTGGAACCAGCTGTTGCAGCTCTTACATTGTACTTTTATATACTATATAACTATATATTTCACTTTTTCTATCACTCATATTATTCAATACATCCAAATACAGCCGTTTGGCATCATTTTGAGAGCCAGGGTCCCCTCAGAGCCTGTTTCTGGCTCTCATCCGTGGGATTTTCTCGTCTGAATTCCAGTTGCTGTGTGTGTATGGGAGTCTAGCTGAGCCTGTCATCGGTCGATTTCAGTCAATGAGCCCGCCTTCGACGCGTCAGAGTCTCAGGAAGGCTGTCGTCGAAGCCGGGTGTTGATTGACAGAACTTTCAGCGAGTAAAAATGCAAAAAGTGCTGCGCATCCCCAAACGTAAAATTCCATTCGCCAAAAGTCTGACCACCCACCCACGGGTCCAGCAAGTTAGATTGACCCCCCTTCTACAGGAAACAGATGAGAAACAGACGGGATGTAGTTGCCAACAATGATTCTAGCTTTGAACCGGATAATTTGCGCCGTTATTTTTGTGATTCTTCATAAAAGGTAAGCAGATACCAATGATTTTTTCCGGTGAAGTGAACTGTTGTGTTGCCGTTGTTGGCTCACAGCTTTGTACTGGTTTCACGGAGAGAAAAACCGAAGGCATTTATGGGTTCTGCGTCGAATGCTAATGCTAGGCGATGTATGGATTAGCCGTATAGCCATTAGCTTGGTGTTCCAATATCGAAGCGCAGTAAATAAAACGCAGATTTGTGGCCAGAAATATGTGGTTTTGTGCCACATTTTCTAGTTGCTTATATTAGTAGTGTATAGTTGTGTTTGGAGTGTGTAAAAAGTGACTTATATGATAGTGTTGCCCATACGTTGCTGTTTAATCCGGTATATAAAATGTACACATGTACAATATTCGCTATCAATATGACCATTTTTTGGACGATATTTGCTACCCCCCCTAAGCCAGAGAGCCCCCAAATTTGGGGGCGTCGTGTGCAAGAGGTTCACTGAGGTAGAAGAAGACTAACTCACTGAGGTAGAAGAAGAAGACGACGACAACTTTCACTCACTGAGGTAGAAGAAGAAGACGACAACTTTCACTCACTGAGGTAGAAGAAGAAGACGACAACTTTCACTCACTGAGGTAGAAGACGACTTTCACTCACTGAGGTAGAAGA